ATTGGGAAAAATTTGGGGAAAAATTGGTAAAATTTGGGATAAATTTGGGATAAAATTGGGATAAATTTGGGAAAATTAGGGATAAATTTGGGATAAATTCAGGACAAATTTGGGATATTTGGGGTGGGTTTGGGGAGATTCAGGCACTGCCCCACGCCCAGGATGTTCCCTGGAACGTTGGGAAAAATTCCAGATAAAATTGGGATAAATTTGGGAAAGAATCGGGAAAAATTTGGGATAAAATTGGGGTAAATTCAGGAAAAATTTGGGGTCCATTTGGAATAAAATTGGGATAAAGTTGGCATAAATTCTGAATAAATTCAGGCTAAATTCTGGAAAAATTTGGGATAAATACAGGATAACATTGGAGTAAATTTGGGATAAATTTCAGGTAAATTTGGTATAAAATTAGGATGAAATTGGGATAAATTTGGGGTGAATTTGGGGCAAATTCGGGATGGGTTTGGGGTGGATTATTTGGGATATTTGGGGTGGGTTTGGGGTGGAAGAAGGCAAAGAATGAGAAGGAGACAGGGAGAGGAAGAAGAGGAAGAGGAGGAGGAGGAGGAGGAAGAAGAGTAGAGGGAGAGGAGAAGGAAAAAGAGGAAGAGGAAGAGGAGGAGGAGGAAGAGGAAGGCAAGGGGAGAAGGAGGAGGAGGAGGATGAAGAGGAGGAGGAAGAGGAGGAAGTGGAGGAAGAGGGGGAGGAGGAGGAAGAAGAAGAGTAGAGGGAGAGGAAGAGGAGGAGAAGGAAAAAGAGGAAGAGGAGGAGGAGGAGGAGGAGGAAGAGGAAGAGGAGGAGGAAGAAGAGGGGAGAAGGAGGAGGAGGAAGAAGAAGAGTAGGAAAAAGAGGAAGAGGAAGGCAAGGGGAGGAGGAGGAGGAGGAGGAGGAGGAAGCAGCACCTGCCGAGTGGTAGAGCGGCAGGCAGGTGTAGATGATGTCATCGGGGCGCATCCGGAAGGCGAAATAACCAAAGGCAGCGATATCCACGACCACGCCCATCACTGACCACACCCATCCATGACCACGCCCACCCATGACCACGCCCTTCACTGACCACTCCCGTGGCCACACCCAGCCCTGGCCCCGCCCCCGGCCCCGCCCTCACCTGCTGTGCACCACGATGGCCGCCTTGGGCAGGCCGGTGGTGCCCGAGGTGTAGATGTAGAACAGGCGGTCTGGAACGGGGCAAAACCCCGGGAAATCGGGAAAAATGGGGAAAATCAGGGGAAATTGGAGAAAATTAAACAAAAATCTGGGGAAAATCGGGGGGAAATTGGGAAAAATGGGGGGAAATGGGGAAAATTACTGAAAAATCAGGGACAAATCAGGGGAAATTTTGGGGAAAATCAGGAGGAAATTGGGGGAAATGGGGGAAATTACTGAAAAATCAGGGGAAATTTTGGGAAAAATCAGGAGGAAATTGGGGGAAATGTGGGAGAAATTGGGGAAAAATCGGAGAAATTGGGGAATATCAGGGGAAATAGTGGAAAATGAGGAAAAATCTGGGGAAAATTGGGGAAAATTACAGAAAAATCAGGGAAAAATTGGGGAATATCAGGGAAAATAGAGGAAAATCGCGGGGAAATTGGGGAAAATGAGGGGAAATGAGGAAAAATTAGGGAAAAATTGGAGAAAATTGAAGAAAAATCAGGGAAAAATCAGGAGAAATTGGTGAAAATCAGGGGAAAGTCAGGGAAGAATTGGGAAAAATGGGGGGAAATCGGGGAAAATTGGGGAAATTAAAGAAAAATCAGGGAAAAATCAAAGGAAATTGGGAAAATCAGGAGGAAATTGGGAGGAAATGTGGGAAAAATTGGGGGAAAATCTGGGAAAATTGTACAAAATTGAGGGAAATTGGGGAAAATGAGGGGAAAAGGGGGGAAATCAGAAAAATCAGGAAAATTAAGGGGGGGAATGGGGGGAAATTGGGAGGAAATTGGGAAAAATGGGGGAAAATCAGAGAAAATTAGGGGAAAATCAGGGGGAATTGGGAAAAAATGGGAAAATGTGGGAAAATCAGGGAAAAACCAAGGGAAAATAAGGGAAATTGGGGAAAATTCAGGGGGGGAAAATCATGGAAAAATTGTGGGAAAAATTGTGGGAAAATCTGGGAAAATTTTGGGGGAAATTGGGGAAAATTGGGGGGAAAATGGGGGAAAAATCAGGGGAAATTGGGAAAAATGGGGGAAATCAGGAAAAAACAGGGAAAATTAAGGGAAAATCAAGAGAAAATCTGGGGGGAACTGGGGGAAAATCAGGGAAAATTGAGGGAAAAATTAGGGGGAAAAATCTGGGAAAATCAGGGGGAAATTGGGGAAAAATCAGGGGTAAAATCAGTGGAAAATCAGGGAAAATTGGGGGAATATCAAGGAAAAATCTGGGGAAAAATCAGGGGAAAATCAGGGAAAATTGGGGGAATATCAAGGAAAAATCTGGGAAAAATTGGGGAAAAATCAGGGAAAAATCAGGGGAAAATCAGGGAAAATTGGGGGAATATCAAGGAAAAATCTGGGAAAAATTGGGGAAAAATCAGGGAAAAATCAGGGGAAAATCAGGGAAAATTGGTGTAAATTTTTACCATCCAGGCCCTTCCCGGGGCCGTTCTCGGGGGGGGATTTGGGGGCTCTCTCCAGGAGGGGCTCCAGGGCCTGGGACCCCTCTGGGCTGGGCCCCAAATCCGGGGAGCCCCAGGAGAATTTCTGCAGCCTCGGGCCCAGGGCAGTGCTCACCTCTGAAAGAGCTGGAAAAAACGGGAGAAAATTCCTTAAAAATGGGAAAAAAATACTGGAAAAATATTTCTGTCGTCTGGGAAAAAAATCAGTTTAAAAATGGGGGGGAGTTCCCTGAAAAATGGGAGGAAATTCCTTAAAAATGGGGAAAAAATCACACTGGAAAAATGGATTTATTATCCTGAAAAAATTCCTGAAAAAATCACTTTAAAAATTGGGAAAAAAATCACTTTAAAAATTGGGAAAAAAATCCCTGAAAAACGGAGAAAATTCCTTTAAAAGGGCCCCACCCTGCCCACCTGAGCTCCCCTGAGCCCCTTCCCCACCTCACCTGAGCCCACCTGAGCCCACCTGAGCTCACCTGAGCCCCCTCCCCACTCACCTGAGCCCACCTGAGCCCACCTGAGCCCCTCCCCACCTCACCTGAGCCCACCTGAGCCCCTCCCTGCTCACCTGAGCCCCTCCCCACTCACCTGAGCCCACCTGAGCTCACCTGTGCTCACCTGAGCCCCTTCCCCACCTCACCTGAGCCCAGCAGCTCTCACCAGTCCCTCGGTGGCCCCTCCCCGCCGTGCCGGCCCGGGTGGCTCCGGTGTCTCGGGGTTGGGACATCGGCCCCACCGGACTGGTGGGACTGGTTTGGACTGGTGGGGACGGGGGAACCTCCCTGGCTCTGGAATCCCGGAACTCCTCCCATGGACCGTGGGGACATCCTGGAGGAGCTTTGAGCCCACCTGAGCTCACCTGTGCTCACCTGAGCCCCTTCCCCACTCACCTGAGCCCACCTGAGCTCACCTGTGCTCACCTGAGCCCCTCCCCACCTCACCTGAGCCCCTTCCCCACCTTACCTGAGCCCCTCCCCGCTCACCTGAGCCCCTCCCTGCTCACCTGAGTCCCTCCCTGCCCACCTGAGCCCAGCAGCTCTCACCTGCTCCCAGCTCAGTGCCGAACACCACGGCCTTGGCCCCGGCGCAGGTGAGCCCGTGCAGCAGCCCCTCCTGGCGCAGGTGCGAGCTGAGCCCCTCCCTGCTCACCTGAGCCCCTCCCTGCTCACCTTAGCCCCTTACCCAGCTCACCTGAGCCCCTCCCTGCTCACCTGAGCCCCTCCCCACTCACCTGAGCCCACCTGAGCTCACCTGTGCTCACCTGAGCCCCTTCCCCACCTCACCTGAGCTCACCTGAGCTCACCTGTGCTCACCTGAGCCCCTCCCCACCTCACCTGAGCCCCTTCCCCACCTCACCTGAGCCCCTCCCTGCCCACCTGAGCCCACCTGAGCCCCTGCCCGCTCACCTGCTCCCAGCTCAGTGCCGAACACCACGGCCCATGCACCTGCGCAGGTGAGCCCGTGCAGCAGCCCCCTCCCGGCGCAGGTGCGAGCTGAGCACATCCCTGCTCACTGAGCCCCCTCCCCACCTCACCTGCACCTACCTGAGCCCCTCCCTGCTCACCTGAG